ATTTCCACACTTCAATTGGGATATCATCAGGTCCTACAAACTTTCCACCCTTGGTTTTCTTTAAAGCCTCCTCAACTTCTTTTTTACTAATGCGACGGTAAAAATGAAACATTTTAATATTATTCACGATATTAAGATCACTAAAGTCGATCGTATTTTCAGTAACTTCATTAAAAAGTTTATCAAAATAACTCACCCACCTATGTTGAATATCTTTTTCTAAGAAAAGTACTTTTTGATTTTCATCTTTAATACATTTTACTTGAGTTATATCTTTATTTTTCTTTTTCTCTTTGTTTGGCTAGTTTATACATATATTTTCACCCTTCTCAGTATCTAATTTATTATAACGATCATTAAAAGCAGAATTTTTAACGTCACAGATTATTCTTTTAAACTTCCTGCGTGCCGTTTGATATTTTTCTCAGTTCTCAAAGCTTTTACAGTTAAACCAATTTTTATAACATAACTTCTTATATTTTATATTTTCTTGCACATTATTATTTCACCATCAACTATTTTTATTTATAAAAATTTTTTCTTTTAATTCTCAAAGCACATCTTTTGCTACTTGTTTAATAGTGTTTCTTATTTTATATCACATAACATTTGCTTCTTCATGAACATCCCAAATTTTGAAATCTTGAATTTTACTCATAAAAATAATTTTATTTGTGTCTTTTAGGTTCCTACCACAAACTAGAAATTTAATTATAATCTGCGTAACTTATGAATATGAAAACATAATGAGGTAGGAGATGACTATGCAAAGAAATCCAGGCTTCATGCCAGACATGGAGGTTATTTTCCCTGAAAATTATTAGTCAACTTGTACGAGACTCAAAATTCTCATTTAACAAGCACACTAGTTTGAAGAAATTTAAGTATTTTATTATGCAATTGAATATATAATTACATACGTCAACTTTTTGTTTATAATCATTGAACATTTTGTAGTTGGTAGTGGACGCTAGCTTAGTAAGGGGCCTTGGAAGCTAATTCACTGGTCTTGCTTTCAAACCTTCTGTCCTGGTTTGCATGATCAGCCCCGCTAAAAACTATAAGCAGAAGATACACAATTGGACATGAAGCAGTGCCAATAGAGATTTGTGGCTACAGTTTCGGTGGTAGACAACAATTCCATATCCAATTATACATTAACGACGTGAAGCACAGGATTATCCTAGGATTAAGTATAAGAGCCAATAAATGCATAAACCCATACGGCTAAGTATAGGAGCCAATAAACCTATAAACCCATAGATGCAAAATCGTCAAATGAACTAGCTGAACCATAAAAACCTAGAAATTGTACAAAACTAAATAAACTGAATCGGACTATCGAATCACAACATTAGAGAACACAACCCATTCTCTTAGATAAGATTAGCGTCATAAGCAATGTTTGAGCAAAAAGTGAAATCGAAAACACAATAGAAAACTGTGACATGCTGAAACTCAAGTAAAAGATTTCTGGTATCATTACTTTGATCGCCGTTTTTAGAGAACGTAAACTTGTACATCTGCTTTAGTAAATGGTGGTTTTTCTTCGATTTTGTTCCTAAATCTGCAAATAAATTGAAATGAGAACAAATATAATGTACTGTACTTGGTATTAAACCTTATGTTCCCAGTTTTCTGGTTTTTTATCATAATTTGCATACGTTACTGTAGGGTGATAATCAGCTCTATGATCTTCCGATAAAGCAAAAGACAGATATTTGCACTATAATGTATACTAGTGGAACAACTGGAGATCCTAAAGGTGTTTTGATTTCCAATGAAAACATCATAACTCTTATTGCTGGCGTGCTTCTGCTGCTCCAATCTGCCAATGAAGAGGTAATTCATATGTTTTGGTATTGTTACCATTGTTCTAATCACAAAGTTTTATTTTATTTTTCTTTTGTTTATTTTTTAACCTGCAGTATGATTTTTTAGTATTGTATTTTAAGATGTTCTTTTAAACATTTCAGCTGCGTGATGATGATGTTTACTTGTCTTATCTCCCTCTGGCACATATTTTTGATCGGGTAGTTGAAGAAATGTTCATATTTACTGGGGCCTCTATTGGCTTTTGGCAAGGGGTAAGCCATTCAACTATAAACTTTTGGTCTGTTTCTACGTCAACTAATTGTTAATTTTGTTTCAGGATGTTAAACTTTTAGTGGAAGACATTGCGATGCTAAAACCTACTATCTTTTGTGCGGTTCCACGTGTACTTGACCGAATCTATGCTGGTACTTCATCATTTTAAAATATTACGTAGTGTTATTTTGTATATTGCTTGCATTAATCTTCGATAAGAATGTTTTGGTACAATTCTGAATATGATATATAAATTTTAGATAAATAAAAGGATAAACAAAAAGGTAATATGGTTACAAGGTGGACAAAAAGCTGTATAAATTATGGCACAAATAATTTGGATGAGGCCAATGAAAAGTTGCAATTAGATATGTATTGACTAAGATAGCATGCACCGTTGTATGCATGATATGATCCAAATATTACCGCTCTATAGTTTTCATACGAGTATTATTCCTAAAATTGTTATTGGACATAAAATTATGTCCACTACCACTGGATATCAAAATTTAAAGCCAGTTTCGTTATAGGATTTGCAATGATTATGCCAAAATTTGCATTAAAAATATCAAATAAAATTTTTATCAAAGTCAATTTATTTGCCTAACTGGAGTAAATTGTTGCGAGAGTCAAATTTGTTCCTTTTGTTATGAGACATGAGGCTTACGACCCTTTGCTATGGGATTTTTGTTCCTAAAAAAATCACTCGCAATCTTCAGGATTTACTGTGTGCCACTCCTTGTGATTCAATTTCTATGATTATGAGATCGTAAGTCTTCCTTGTCTCCTAATTGCATGAGTTTTGTTTACAATCCTTTGCGGTTGTTTTTTCTCAAATAGGGCCTATAGATTCTACTTGTCGATTTTTATATTTAATTGACAATGGGTTGTGATTATAAGTAGAGGTTTTTGGGAGAAGTAAAAATAATTTTGGTTGGTTTTTTCTTTATTCTACACTGATTTTTATAATAATTCAGTGCTAGTGAAATTGGTTTTTACTGGCCAATGCAAATTAGAGATTTTAAATTTGAAGGGGAAGGTGTCTCGTTATTTCATCGCAAGTTTTAGATTTGTTCTTTATTGATCTCTTTTCTTTTCCGTTTCTCTCTCTAATTCTAGTGATTCACATGTTTGTGTAGCTAAGTATCACCAAATTGGGAGCAATCTAGTTTGTCTAGTAACTCTCTAGTTGCACCGCAATTTCATTTGAACTCTCAACTTCATTTGAATGTGAAATCTTTTCATGCTCCAGGTAATTTATCATTTGTGCGGAATTCATATATATTTTTGGTTTCCATATAAAGTGACAAATAATTGTTTTAAATTAAAAGTTTATGAGCTTCAAAATTGAACTTGTGTGTGTAATTCTGTGTCTCATTCTAGATTTTCACTAGGAAATTTCAAATATTAAGATTTCCCGCCTCATGCTTTTAATTTTCATCAGCGAGTCCAAGAAAAACTAAGGATGAAATATGAAGCAATGCCTGGAATAACTTTTAGCACAATGAGCTTGTTGATCTGATGAACAATCGTAACAATCTCTGCATGAAAGCATGTAGAAAACAACATTTAAGAAGCGTTTTTCCATTAACAATATGTTTCATTTTTAACACGTGGATTTAGAATTTCAACTGTAAAAACAAAGAAATATTAAGAAATATGCAGCATTCATTGTACAAAATATTGACAGGAAGCCAGTGGAATGATAGAACCTGATAAATTGATAGTGGATGGAGGGTTAAACTGTACTTAGGAGAAGATGCTTTGCTGGGTATGCAGTTGAAGAGAGAGAGAACTTGACATGACCTTCTTTTATTCCGTGCATAGGTATTCCAATTGACATTTTGTTGGGCTCTGATGCCAAATAACGATATGAACAGTAGATGAAAATTTGTTATAATGTGTTTGAGGAATAACTTGAAAATTATTCACGGGCCAGATGAGAGAGGAAGAATGATATATAATACTAAGGAAGGTAGAAAGAGGGAGCAAATCCTAATGGAGTATTCAAGCCATTATGCTTTGATTTTTTTATTCTTTAACTACTCCATACAAACCTACATGCCTTTTTATAGAAGAGGATTCCTAACACATGCAAAAATTGCCAATGAATAATAAGGAAATTTATAATGCGACCTTATTACATATTCAAAGCATAAGATATTTTTTATGTTGAAAAATACTTTGACATGTATACATTAGATGATCCATCTGTGGAATGATCACTTACCGGGATGATCCTACATATTGCAAATTGTCACAACCCAACTCGGTGCTTAGAATTAACTAAAGCGGGTACAACGGCCGGATGGTATTAACATCTAATTATCTACATTTTGAAAATTTTCAATACATATAAAAAGACCACTAATTCACAAAATGCAATGAAATCTAAAATATCCAGAACAATAACATCCAAAGAAAATATCACAAGACAGTACTAAATAGTATATCAATATCTGAAAGAAAAAGTAAAGAGAAATCATCATCATAACAAATATACCTATCAATAGTAACCCTTTTCTAGCAAACAAAGTCTCTCCTATCAGACATAACATGAAAATTTTCTTCTATTGAAAAAAACATTAATTTGCAACTATAAGTAGAACTTAGGGTCTGTTTGACGCAATTGTTGATTATTTATAATCTGCTGATAAGCAGATTATTTTGATAATTTGATAATCTGCAAATTATTAGAATAAGTTGGCTTGCTGTTTGAGGGAGCTTATTTAAAATAGCTTATTGATAGCTGTTGCAGGAGAATTGACCATTCTGCCCTTGTTTGGCGAAACTGTTTGTAACAGAACTTATGTAATCATTTATTTTTTTATAAATTATTAACTTATTAGCTAATAAATTTTGATTAATCAATTATTAATTACGTGAAGATATATAAATTATAATATATTTCTATTATAATTAAATTGATGATATATAAATTAATTATAGATTCTTAAATTAATTATAATTAAAATTTTGATATAATTAATTATAGATCTTTAAAAAATTATGATAAATTAATTTAACTCAGCCCCCATAATGCTATAGGTGAAAGTATTAGGCATCGTCCTGGTTCAGCTCTTTCTCGTCGGGGAGGAGAGGACAGAATCAGAGATTAGGCTCGCCAGAGCGCCGCTTGTCTCAACGGAGAGAACGAATTGGATTTGGAGGGCCTTCGTGAACAAACCTCGCTTGTCACTCCCCCTCCCGGTTTCGCCCAAAACTATCGCCTTCATGAACGAACCTTCGCCAGTCGCCATTAGAGCTAGCTGGGAAGCCAACAACGGGATCGCAAAGGATCGCGAAGGCAACGACAGAAACCAAAAATTATCAAGGAAGGTAAGCCTGTTTGCGCCATTCTTCCTGTTAGCTTGGTGAGAGGGCGAGGGCGAGGGGGCACCGAAGGAATTTTTCACGCGAACGCGGGAAGTAGGTGCAGGACGCTGCTCCTTCTGTTAAGAAAATCCTTAAGCGCTTGTTAGCGGCAGGAATAATCTGCGCCTAACGTGTTTTTCGAACACCGCTATGAAAACATTTTTCAAACACCTCTGTGGCGTTTTCATACCGCCACCGCACCCCAATAAGTCACCCCAAATGGGTCCTTAATTATAATTTAATGAGTAATTATAATCTAATATACATTAAATTCTTATGCTATGCTATGCATGATTGACGCATGAATGATCAAAAGAAAAATATAGTTCATTTCATTAAAACTTTAAATTTATCCCATGAGTTATGTTTCACTTTATGTTTTTATCTTTTTCTTACATTTTTTAAAGTTATAACATGATTACTGTCATACCCGAAGGTATCATAAAAACTGTTCTCGAAGATACTCTTAAAATGTGTCCGAAGACAGTCTCAAAATGCGTCCGAAGACACCCTAAAAAATGTATCTGAAGGTTCCTTAAAATTGCACCTGAAGATCCACCTTTACGATTTCTTTTAACGTGCACAAGTACATTATATCCCATGTCAGTACTATCTGAGAGTAATCTTGTATGAGTTAAACATTTAACTTTTATTTCATTTCATTTAAATTACATCCTTATAAAGACATTAAACATTCTTTTTTTATTTCTCCTTTCATTTCTTTCATTCTAAAGCAATACAATGCATATAATCATAAAATAGTTTTCTAAAGCATTAAAGAAATTTTTTATTTAATAAATTTTAAATTTAATACATATAAGAAAATATTTACTCACCTTAGCCTTAAGAGATCTCTTACATAGTTTAACCCTTCACTTCACTTATTTGGATAAGCAACCAGTATTAATGATTGTGGTATCATTTGATAAGACTTCTATTCTTAAAAGAAATAATTAATGCATCTAATAACAGATAATTAAAATGACACATAGGTAATTATATAATTTGTTATCTTAAAAGTTTGATTAGCTTCCTTGAACAAAATTTTTCCTTTTTTCTTTTACAACTTTAATTGATTCAGTCTCCAACCTTCTTCTTTAATATCTGATTAATTCTGATTAATTTAAATGTGTCATGCTGATTAATTTAAATGTGTCATGAGCATTAATAAGTAAACCAATAATTTCAATTTAAGCATATTTACCTCATAAAACATTAAACACCCAGAAGATTTGGTTATCATCGTTCGCACATAAAACCCAATTTCACGCACGGCCAACTCCTTTCTCTTACGCATCAAATGCATCCACGTACAATATTTGATTTAAATTCATAACTCATATATATATTTGAAAAAACCTAGTGCAATTATATTATAGAGGAAAAGGTACAGATAAGTTGTATGAGTGGTCCTAAAAGAAGGTACCAACCAACACGATACAATACACACAAAAACTAAAAAAAAAAGTTACATATAAGATCCAAAAAAAACCAAAAACCATCAACGCGTGCAAAAATCTAGGGGCGAATCAGTTTAGTCTTGCCTCTACCTCGAGGTCTCAGAAGGGAGCCGACTAGCAAATTGGTGAGGTGCGCTCCATTACCCGAATTAACCAAAGTATCATCCATCAAATTCTTGAGCTCTAGTAGGTTTCCATTTTTCTTCTTCTTTCTGGATGTGTAAATTTGTCATTTCTCATCCGAAAATTGACTCATTTGATCGGTGGATTGGTCCAAAGGTGGCCGGACAAGTGTAGGCTATTGCACATCATGGACC